TATGCTATTCGGACGATTAGTAGCCCCAATAACAATAACACGGGACCGAGATTTCAGTCCATCCATTAAAGTCAGAAGCTGTGAAACGATCCTCCTATCAACTACACCACAGGTCTTCTCCCTCTTTGGAGCAATTGAATCGATCTCATCAATAAAGATGATGGATGGAGCCTTTATCTCAGCTCCTTTAAAAGCATTCCTGAGGTTGCTTTCACTTTCTCCAACAAATTTGGACATAATTTCAGGGCCATTAATACAGAAGAAGGATACACCAGTTTCCTTGGCAACAGCTCTGGCAATTAATGTCTTTCCAGAACCAGGGGCTCCATAAAGTAAAATTCCTTTGGGTGGTTTAGCACCAATTGATTCGAAAACTTGAGGATGGCTTTGTGGCAACTCAACTAACTCACGGATCTGAGCCATCTGCTTCCTAACACCACCCACATCATCATAACCAACTTCATCCAATCTAACCTCATGCTCCCAAAATGTTCCAGTCGTCGGTGCAACCATTCGATACCTTGCTGGATCAGTCTCAAAAGTTCCAATCGTCGGTGCAAATATTCCATACGTTTTTGGATCAGTCTCAGGTGTTTCATCAGCATCAGTCTGAGATGTTTCATCAGTCTGAGATGTTTCATCAGCAAGAGCAATGCACATTTAGAAAAAATAATAAATAAATAAATCAAACCGACTGAAACAAAACCCCAGCTTGAAATTGCGAGTCTAATCATTAATCGTAGACAGGGTAACATCACAACTCAAATATAAATAATTATCTAGTTATGCACCTTGATGGGCACAGTATCGCCACGATTCTCCATGATTTCAGGGTGCATGACGACGAAGGAGTTAACGTAGCTGACCTCCTTATCTACAACAAGTCGTTCGGCTGACTTCTTGCGCTCCAAAATCGCCGTCGAGTTATCTTTCTCACCCGATTTCCTGAATTCCACCGTCAAAATCAAAATCAAAATTAACAAACAGAATTCAGCTCTAACTGTAAATGCCAAAACATCAAAAACAAAAATCGCTCGAAAAGAGAGCAAAGCATGAATATGAATCAGTTAGTTGGCTCACGGGTCGGACGATTCTGCTTGGTGAATCATGCTGAGTAATATGCTTCGAAATGGACGAATTAAGAGAGAGCCAAGAGAAAGGAAACCGAGCGGTGTTGATAATGGCTTCGGAAGATTTGAACTTAATTATATCCTTCATTTTGGATGCCACTCACATCAGTCACACCTTTAACGTTCTCTCTCCAGAACCGTGTTGCATCTTCCTCCCTATTTCTACTGTGTTCCTGCTTTTCTAGTTGACTTTGCTGACTGGTTCCTTCTGCTTTAAGTATTTCTTTGGTTGCCCTTTTCCCCATTCATTTCCTTTTCCTGTAATGTCTTTCCTCCTCTCCTCATTCCCACACCCTTTTCCTCTTTTCAGTTTTTAATGGTTGTGTTTGGGAGGTGAAGTGGGCAGTGCTTCCACCAATGGAAGATGGTTTCTGTACAGGGATTTGAGGCGAAGTTTTGTCACTCTGATTATTTCTTTGTTAAAGATGTTCCCAAAGGTGATGAAAACAAAAGCAAAAGAAAAGAGGAGGCATGGTTGTCAAATAATTTTAAAAAATGTGGTGTTAACAATTGGGATTGTGGAAATTGTGCCACCCCTTCTAACCTATCCTTAAGCATTAGCATCGTAAAGGACTTAAGAGTCTTAATTTATATAAAAAAATAAGATAAAATAAAATTTTAATATTTAAAAAAATTAGTAAGAAAAAGATATATCATTATTTAAAAATATATATATATATAACAGTTGGTTCTTAAAAATTTAATCATAATTAT